CATCTCGGTTTCTAACCATTCCGTAAGTGGGGTTTTAGTTCGAGAGGACCGAGGTGAGCAAAAGCCAATTTTCTACATAAGTATATCTCTAACTAGTCCATAAACGAGATATACCATGATGGAGAAATTAGCTTTAGCAGTGGTCGTATCCGCTAGGAAGCTCAGGCCTTATTTCCAATCTCATCCTATAGAAGTACTAACTTCCCATCCGCTTCGTTCAATTCTTCACGGGCCAAGTCAGTCCGGTAGTTTGGCGAAATGGGCTATCGAACTCAGTGAGTACGATATAGAATACAAAAGCAGAACTAGCGCAAAAGCACAAGTTCTGGCTGATTTTCTAACCGAACTGCCACTAGATGATGGAATCCCTATTGAGACAGACTCTACATGGAAATTACATGTAGATGGTTCTTCTTCTAAACAGGGATCCGGAATCGGCGTTAGGCTCGAAACTCCAACAAAGGATATAATCGAGCAATCATTTCGATTAATGTTTCCAGCTTCAAACAATGAAGCAGAATACGAAGCTCTTTTAGCGGGACTTCGGCTTGCTCTTGCGATTGGAGCAGAAAAAATAATAGCTTATTGCGATTCTCAGCTAGTTGTAAACCAGTTCGCTGGAGATTACGAAGCTAAGGCTCCTCGAATGGAATCTTATCTTTCGGCTATCAAAAAATTAGCCGGAAAATTCAAAGAATTCGAATTAGTTCGAATACCTAGAGGAGAAAACACTTCGGCAGATGCTTTAGCTGCCCTAGCTTCTACCTCAGACCCTGAACTCAAACGAGTTATCCCAGTTGAATGTATTTCTTCGCGGAGTATTTCGATTGAAGAAACAGAAAACGATAACATTTCGGAGGCCGAATACATCGAAACTCCAAAACCAAGTGAGAATGGTTCACTTGTCATCACCAGATCATGAATAAAGTCTCAAGATGACGAACTAAATCCACCATTAGAACTTCCTAAAAGAAAGTCAAGAAGAAAATTAAAGGATCAAGAGGTTCCCATTAAAGAACCGTCTCGAACCGAACAATCACTTCTAGGTGATGTACAGGTTCAGGAGACAATCGAAGATCCTGATATTCCTTCCGAACCCGAACCAAGGAAGTTTATACTCAAGGTTAATACTTCCGCTAATGATTGGGGGGCTGACTGGAGGGTACCCATCAAAAATTTCATTCTTAATGGAGAACTACCATCGAACAAATGGCAAGCTCGCAAATTAAAAATCATCAGCGCTAAGTATTATATAATTAAAGAGTCATTGTATAAGCGAGGCGTCAGTGATCCTTATCTTTTATGTATTTTAGGACCCAAAGTTGAAATAGTGACAAGCGAGGTCTACGAAGGACTTTGTGGTAGTCATTCTTCGGGACGAGCAATGGCTTTCAATATCAAACGGTTAGGATATTTCTGGCCAACTATGATTTCAGACTGCATCGATTACGCCAAACGATGTAAAAAATGTCAGATGCACGCTCCTCTTATTCACCAGCCATCTGAAATTCTATCGTCTATATCCGCTCTATACCCTTTCATGAGGTGGTTAATGAATATAATCGGTCCGATGCATCGTTCAACACGAGGCGTCCAATACTTATTAGTTCTAACGGACTATTTTTCCAAATGGATTGAAGCTGAAGCTTATATAAGCATACACGATTCCGTAGTAAAGACATTCTTGTGGAAACACATTATTTGTCGCTATGGAGTTCCTTACGAAATAGTAACAGACAATGGTCCTCAATTCATTTCAAATGATTTTGAAGATTTTTGTTCCGCTTGGGGAATAAAACTTAGCTACTCAACGCCGAGGTATCCTCAAGGAAATGGACAAGCGGAAGCCTCCAATAAAACCATTCTCAGCAATCTTAAAAAACGCTTGAGTGCTCGAAAAGGTGGATGGTATGATGAGCTGTAACCTGTGTTGTGGGCTTATCGAACAACCCCGAGGCGAGCAATGGGTGAAACTCCATTCTCATTAGTTTATGGGATGGAAGCCGTAGTCCCATCCGAGCTGAATTTTCCAGGTTTGCGCCGAAGCGAAGCTCCACTTAACGAGGAATCGAATTCTAAATTATTACAAGACGTTCTCGATACAATCGATGAAAGGCGAGACCAATCCCTTATTCGACTTCAGAATTATCAACAGTTGACCGCTCGATACTATAACTCAAAGTTGAAAAACAGACCTTTAAATGTAGGAGACTTTGTTTTAAGGCGAGTGTTCGATAATACAAAAGAAGAAGAAGCTAGAAAACTCAGTATTAACTAGGAAGGCCCTTATCAAATCACTGAAAAAATCCGAAACGGTGTATACCGTTTACAAGACCTTGGTGGAAATCCCGTTCAAAGGCCTTGAAACATAATCAATTTGAAAAAGTTCTATTGCTAAAGCGAACATAATCGAACTACGATTTGGCTTGATCCTATTTTTGGTACGTAGGCAGCTCGCTAGTCACGAGTCCAGCTATAACATAAAAATAAAAATATTATTCTAGTCATGGAATCTTGTTTTTATGAATTTGATATTCGAGCATAAATATAAAGATACGTTGCGAACAATGTATAAATAAATATTTCTTGCTAAGCTAAGACCAGATCTAGAAGGGTCTTGAATTACGGAATAGCTCTGCTCCTTGACCTGCGAGGTCAACGATGCTAATAATACAACCTGGCATGTTTCCGTACTCCTGAAGTCCTAGTTCGATCCAATCGGAAGGATGGGTTTTGAGGCGATGAAGCTCGCGAGAAATATCGAGGCGACGCTTCTCTAGCTCCATTATCCGTTTCCTAATCTTTTTCTTCTCATCTTCGAGCTCGTCGTGCCGAATGATAAGCTGGAAAAAATAAAACGTTTCGTTACGCAATAACAAAAAGAGTCAAATCATTAAGATGAATAATACCTTGGTGATAAACTCCTCGGCCTTAACACGATCTTGGGCTGACAATCTCTCGATTAATACGATCGGAACCTGAATGCTGGTTCCCTTCCTCAATATTCGTGACCCTTCCGGTTCGCCAGTTCTTCCCGTTTTTGTAAGCTCGATGTCTGGTGCTCCCGGAAGATCGTCACTTATCAATCTGGATGAGTAAGAAGTTTTCTCTGAAGAATTTCCCTCTTCAGACATTTTTGTAGAATTGTTGTTGAAATTCAATGCCAGACTACACCCACTTTATACTCGAACATTTTTCGATTGCATTTAAGATGATTAATTGACGATTTCCCAAAATCTAAAATTACGACTTTCATGGAAAATGTAATCAAGTTAATTGCTAATTATATTCCCTAGATTAAACGCATTAAATGAGATTTGAATAAATCGGCAAATTTAAAGCAAAAGGAGGAATATAATTAATGTTGTTGGGTTTCAAGTCCAGTGACATTTTACAAACATAAAACGGAAAGTGTTCGATTAAAAGTCTTCGCCCGATAATGACTCCAGCGAGGTGGAAGATCCCGAACAGCTTTCTGAGGATAGTCCCTCGTCAGAAGATAAATTAAAAGGGCCAGGGAATTCATCAACAATTTTTCATCTCCAGTTCCTCTTTTTCTTCAGTTCTTAACATCGGAAGTCTCCGAAACTCTAAGGAACATGAAACAAAAGAGGACCCATCGCTGGTCGCCAAGGATAAACGATGAAATTTATCCAGCATGCGGAGGAATCTTCAGAGGCAAATAGGCATTATGGCCACAATGTCTAGACCATTCCTCTCCCATTCGTGCGGTTCAGATTCAAGGCGAAGGATCTCTCTTTCCATCCTCTTTATGCGCTCATCAAGAGCACGGCGCCTCCTTCCGATTCTTTGTCTCTTATCACATAAAGCTTTGTGTCTCCTGACAATCTGTTTGAACAAACATTTTGTCAAATGACCAAAAGAAAGGAAGTTATAGTTTTCTGAGAAGACTAAGAGTTAGAAAAGGAACCTTTTCCAGGAAGTCATAACATTTAACCATTTTCTTCCCTGTTCGGAAATGAAAAAACGTTGGGTGAATAATGTGGATGTAGGATTTACACTCGATTGTCTTTAAGTATTTTTGCGGAGAAAAAACTCTAAAATCAAAGGATGAAAATAAGAATTTGAACAGGAAAGTGACCAAGAAACTAAATAAAGCGAAAGAAGTTGATAAGAACAAAATAGTAAAGAGCTTTGCGAAATTGTAAGAGAGAAAGTATGTTGTATTTCTTGATTGTAAGAGGTAAAAAGATTGTTCCTCCCTCAAACACATGCGTTTGAGGTTGTTTTTATAGAGTAAATATAATCAATGCGGTCATTTACTGCTCATAATCGCATTGACTCGCATTAATCATGTAGGTTACAATTTGACCGAAATGGCTTGAATTTGAACTATCCTAGGCCTCGCGTGGATCTTCCGAACTCTTTCTTGTTGACTCCGAACTCCTGCGTCTTGACGCTGCCGCGAATCTCGAACAATATTCTCCTCGCTTCGGCATTTCTCTGTGCGAGCTGTATGCTGAATAAGAGCGAACTCCGTACTGGTAAAGATCGAGCTCTTTAATAAACTGAATCGAACTTCCGGCTGGTCGAGCTCGATTCTCCTAATGAAATACCTAGAAGTCCAAGAGGATTATTATGTAATAATGACGTGGACAGATCCAAATGGATCCTACTGAAAGTGTGTGGGATCCGACCCCAACATTTAGCCCCCCAAGTCTTGCGAGCTGAATGCTCGGCTTGGAAGACTTAAGTAAACTGTAATTAATGACTCGAGATCTTTAACATTCCGGAATTATTCCATGTTTTTCGCTATTACGCTGATCACGGATAATCAGATGATTTGATTTCCCTAACAACTGTCATCATTAATTTCTTAATTTTATATTAATACCACGGGGAAAACCGTCCCACTTCCCAATATTCTCGAGGCGGTTTTTCGCTAAATAAGGTTAAATGGAACGACGGCTTTTACAGCAGCGTATATTTACCCCAAAAGCTTTTACCGAACCAGAAAAAGAGAAACCTCTTAGTAAAATATGTCTTCCCCAGTCGTCTATGTTTCGAAAAACGAAGATGACGGTCAAGGAATCCCTGTTCCCAGAGGGGATGAAGTCTTCACCCAAAGGGGAGACAAATTTGGTCCGCACTTCAGGTCTCAGTCGACCTCTGCTTCCCTTGGCGCTCTTCGCCACCTTTGTAACATCCCCTAAGAAATTGAATTCTCTCTTCCTAGACCCAACGAGTCTCCAGAAGTGGTGCGAGAGGGTTACTGTTGTGCGTACGAAGTCTATTTCAAAGGTTGTGGTTTGTCTTTTCCCGTTCCGGAAGTTCTTCTTTTATACCTCCTCCACCTAGGGATTGCCTTTCCCAAAATGGCTCCCAACTTTCTTCGATACGTTCTGAGTACCCTGACCGTTTCGGCAGAAGCAGGGTTTTCCCTCTCCACCAGCGAACTCTTAGGGCTATTTCGAGCCTGTGAATCCGCAGCAGCGGGAATTTTTTCTATAAACCCTATCCTTGACCGTAACCTGATCGACGGAATGCCCTCGAATGATGGGCCTTGGAGGAAGACGTCTCGAGCCTGAATGCCCGAGACAAAAGAAAGGTGCAAGCTGAAATCAAGACTCTTAAGGATCAGCTATCCGAAATCGGGAGAAAGAAACGGATAGCTTCAATCTCCAGGGTTGGTAACTTCCACAGGAAGACCCTCTTGGTTGATGACGGTTCATTAGAAGCAGCCCTGTCAGCCGCGGTGGATACTCATGGAGCCGAGATTCTTAACGACCCTCCCGTTACCACCGCAATTTACCCTTCTGAACCAGGGTGTGAGGGAGAAAAAACCTCCTCTCTTTGTACAAAGAGGAAGGCTCCAGATTCTGATAATTTATCAAGCGAGAGACTTAAAACCGTGAGATTAAGTTCTCCGCCACGAGTCTCTAGCCCTCTACGCTCTTTTTCTCCCTCGTCAGAACCTTTAAACTCTGAGCTCCCTCTTCCGGGAGACAGAGTAATTTCAGAGGAAACAGATGAGCCGAGACCAGAGGCTCCCCTATCTCAAGGACTGAGTGTCAGGACTCAAAATCCTTTACTCGCTTCGATTTCAGGTAAGTTTTTACTTAGAAAACGAACATTAGCAAGACTTGCCACGGATTGCATCTATTAATATGCTATCCTCCTCTGCTTCGTAGGCGGAGAAGAGATTGGAGACATCTTCCAAAGTTTCCAAACCAGGGAAGGGGCATCCCTTCCTCCTTTTTCGGTTTGGAGGCCGGAAATCCGTCAGATGTTTGCCAATCGAGCTCACTACCTATCCCAGGTTCGGATCTTTTAGATTATGACAATCTCCCTTCCTTAGGTAAAAGCTTTTTGTCTAATAGACACGTTTTCTTTTTACTCCGAAGGCTTTTATGGAGACTAATGGAATGATCTTCCATTATGAGAACCTTCTTCATCAAGCGAAGAGAGAGACCGCAAAGGCTAAGAAGGAGGTTGATGATCTCAGATTAGCCAACCAATCCGAGCGACTTGAGCGGGAAAAAGCACTCGAGTCATCGTTTGAAAATATGAAGAAAACTCTAGCAGCTAACGAGCAACGCATCAGAATTGCGAATGCTGAAAGAGATTCTGCGAGGTCTAATGCTTCTCGCTTGGAGGCTGAGCTAGTGGAGAATATGACTTTGTTCGAAGAAGCAAATCAAGAGATCGAGCTTTTAACTAGGAACATGGCTCGCGATATCGCTGAAGCCGAACATAATGCTCGAGAAGAGATGAGGGGATTCGGAAGGCAACTTATTCAATCTGTTACGAAGTTCATCAAGGACGAAGAGGTCTGGACTAAACTTCTAACAGATCGAGCCGAACTGAAGAGCAATCTAGACCTGATTAAGGAACTAGAGGCTGGGAGAGTTTCGTTCGAGAACGAGAGGAACGAAGTTGCTGCCGAACTCGCTATGGTTGAGTCTGAGTTATCCTCGGCTTTCCCGTCTTACTCTCGATCTGAAACAATTTTCTTTGGTATTTGGAGACTCCCCATCTCAATTCGAGGTAGGTGAAGGTTCTCGGCCACATGAGGGTTCTCCAGAGGTGTAGGAACGTTTTTTTTTTTTTTTAAGAAATGTTTTGTTGAGTCCATGAGGATTATTCCGTTTGACGGAAATATTTTGTTCAATTAGTGTGACCGAACACAACCATGTACATGCTCTGGCATATGATTTTTTTTTTTTTTTTTAGCAAAAACGTTTGGACGTGATTCTAGGTTTGCAAGTCCTAGCCCGCCAAAGAGGTTTTATGAATTGTGAGAGATGAGCTGATCAGGCTCACTTGCCTTTTTTAAAGAAAAAATCTTAATAAGTATTTCTCCTCGGTCTCTCGAAGGCGAGGATGGAGCTCGGCTTAAGTTTTCTTTTTATATCGAGGGATAAGATTTATAATTCATAGGAATTTTTTCATAAATACGACCAGGCAATGATTTCGATCGTTGCCCATGATGGCTTCGGAATCGCTGGGCCGCTTTTAATTGGATCTGAAGCCTGCTCCAATAGGCCAACAATATATAATTATTTCTAGAAATCTGAACCCCTTTCTTCTTAAAAAGGGATTCCGAAAGATACCGTAGCTTATTATAAGAAAAAACTTGAAAAGATGCCGCTGTCTTCTTTCAGATCAAGCTCAAGAATAAAGACTTCAAGTGGGAACCCATTGTTTGAGTTTGAAGACGGATTTTCTCCAAAGGGAGTTATTCACCCAACGTTTTTTCATTTCCGAACAGGGAAGGAAAGGGTCAAATGTTATGACTTCCTGGAAAAGGTTCTTTTTCTATCTCTTAGTCTTCTTTGAAAACTATAACTTCCTTTCTTTTAGTCATTTGACAAAATGTTCGTTTAAACAGATCGTCGGGAGACACAAAGCTTTGTGTGATAAGAGACAAAGAATCGAAAGGAGGCGCCGTGCTCTTGATGAGCGCATAAAGAGGATAGAAAGAGAAATCCTTCGCTTGGAATCTGAACCGCACGAATGGGAGAGGAATGGTCTAGACATCGTGGCCATGATACCTACTTGCCTCCGAAGATTCCTCCGCATGCTGGATAAATTTCACCGTTTATCCTTGGCGACCAGTGATGGGTCCTCTTTTGTGTCATGTTCCTCAAAGTTTCGGAGACTTCCAATGTTAAGAACTGAAGAAAAAGAGGAACCGGAGACGAAAATTGTTGATGACTTCTCCGGCCCTTTTGATTTATCTTTCGATGAGGGGCTATCCTCGGAAAGCTGTTCGGGATCTTCCACCTCGCTGGAGTCATTATCGGACGAAGACTTTTGATCGAACACTTTCCTATTTATGTTTGTAAAATGTCACTGGTCTTGAAACCCAGCAACATTAATTACATTTCCCCTTTCGCTCTAAATTCGCCGATTTATTCAAATCTCATTTAATGCGTTTTATCTAGGGAATATAATTAGCAATTAACTCGATTACATTTGCCATGAAAATCGTAATTTCAGATTTGGGAAATCATCAATTAGTCCTCTTAAATGCAATCGAATAAATTTTCGAGTATAAAGTGGGTGTAGTTTGTCATTGAATTTCAACAACAATTCTACAAAAATGTTCAAGGGAGGTAACTCATCAGAGAATCCTTCAGACTTGTTCAAAGTGATGAGCGTTGATCCTTCGAGGACGTCGGACATCGAGCTTATAAAAGCAGGAGAGTCTGGCGAACCAAAAGATTCACAAAAGTTGAAGAAGGGTACTAGCATTCAGGTTCCGATCGTTTTAATCGAGAGATTGTCGCCTCAAGATCGTGTTAAGGCTGAGGAGTTTATCAATAAGGTATTTTCCATCCTAGTGATTAACTTCTTTTTGTTATTGCTAAACGTAGCGTTTTATTTTCTTCAGCTTATCACTCGGCATGATGATCTCGAAGATGAGAAGAAAAAGATTAGGAGACGGATAATGGAGCTAGAGAAGCGTCGCCTCGACATATCTCGCGAGCTTCATCGCCTCGAAGCCCATCCTTCAGATTGGATCGAACTAGGACTTCATGAGTATGGAAACATGCCAGGTTGCATTATGAGCATCGTTGACCTCGCAGGTCAAGGAGCAGAGCTATTCCGTAATTCAAGACCCTTTTGAGTCTGAGTTTAGCTGGAAATATTTATTTATACATTGTTTGCAATGTACTCTATATTCAAGCCCAAGGATAAGAATAATATTCCATGATTTGAAATAATATTTTAATTTTATATTATAGCTGGACTCGTTTTTAGTGAGCTGCCTACGTACCCAAAATAGGATCAAGCCAAATCGTAGTTCGAATGTGTTTGCTTTAGCAATAGAACTTTTTCAAGTTGATTATGTTCCAAGGCCTCTGAACGGGGTTTCCGTCAAGGTCTTGTAAACGGTATACACCGTTTCGGATTTTTTCAGTGATTTGATAAGGGTCTTCCCAGTTAATACCGAGTTTTCCAGCGCCTTCTTCTTTTGTGTTATCGAATACTCGCCTTAAAACGAAGTCTCCTTCATTTAAAGGTCTGTTTTTCAACTTTGAGTTATAGTATCAAGCGGTCAACTATTGATAATTCTGAAGTCGAATAAAGGATTGGTCTCGCCTTTCATCGATTGTATCGAGAACATCTTCTAATAATTTTGAATTTGAATCCTCGTTAAGTGGATCTTCGCTCCGGCGCAAACCTGGAACATTCAGCTCGGCTGGGACTACGGCTTCCATCCCATAAATTAATGAGAATGGAGTTTCACCTGTTGCTCGCCTCGGGGTTGTTCGATAAGCCCACAACACATGTTGCAGCTCGTCGTACCATCCACCTTTTCGAGCATTCAAAAGTTTTTTAAGATTGCTGAGAATGGTTTTGTTGGAAGCTTCCGCTTGTCCATTTCCTTGAGGATACCTTGGTGTTGAGTAGCTAAGTTTTATTTCCCAAGCGGAACAAAAATCTTCAAAGTCATTTGAAATGAATTGAGGACCATTGTCCGTTACTATTTCGTAGGGAACTCCATAGCGACAAATGATGTGTTTCCACAAAAATGTCTTTACTACGGAATCATGTATGCCCTATATAAGCTTCGGCTTCAATCCGTTTGGAAAAATAGTCCGTTAGAACTAATAAGTACTGGACGCCTCGTGTTGAACGATTTATCGGACCGACTATATCCATTGACCACCTCATGAAGGGGTATGGAGCGGATATAGATGATAGAATTTCAGATGGCTGGTGAATAAGGGGAGAGTGCATCTGACATTTTTTACACCGTTTGGCGTAATCGATGCAGTCTGAAATCATAGTTGGCCAAAAATATCCTAACCGCTTGATTTGAAAGCCATCGCTCGTCCCGAGGAATGACTACCACAAAGCCCTTCGTGGACCTCGCTTGTCACTATTTCAACTTCGGGCCCGAATATACATAAAAGATACGGATCACTGACGCCTCGCTTGTACAATGATTCTTTAATTATACAATACTTAGCGCTGATGATTTTTAATTTGCGAGCTTGCCATTTGTTCGATGGTAGTTCTCCATTAAGAATAAAATTTTTGATGGGTACCCTCCACTCAGCCCCCCAATCATTAGCGGAAGTATTATCTTTGAGTAAAAACTTCCTTGGTTCGGGTTCGGAGGGAATATCAGGATCTTCAATTGTCTCCTGAACCTTCGCATCCACTAGAAGTGACTGTTCGGTTTGAGACGGTTCTTTAATGGGAACCTCTTGATCCTTTGATTTTCTTCTTGGCTTTCTTTTAGGAAGTTCCAGTGGTGGAATAAGTTCGTCATCTTGAGACTTTATTCGCGATCTGGTGACGACAAGCGAACTACTTTCATTTCCGAAACTTGGTTTTGGAGTTTCGAAGTGTTCGGCCTACAAACAGTTATCGTTTTGTGTTTCTTCAACCGAAATACTTTGTGAAGAAATACATTCAACTGGGATTACTCGCCTAAGTTCAGGATCTGAGGTAGAAGCTAAGGCAGCCAAAGCGTCTGCCGAAGTGTTTTCTCCTCTAGGAATTCGAACTAATTCGAATTCTTTGAATTTTCCGGCTAATTTTTTGACAGCCGAAAGATAAGCTTCCATTCGAGGAGCCTTAGCTTCGTAATCTCCAGTGAACTGGTTTACAACTAGCTGAGAATCGCAATAAGCCATTATTTTTTCTGCTCCAATTGCAAGAGCAAGCCGAACTCCTGCTAAGAGAGCTTCGTATTCCGCTTCGTTGTTCGAAGCTGGAAACATTAATCAAAATGATTGCTCGATTATTTCCTTTGTCGGAGTTTCGAGCCTAATACCGATTTCGGATCCTTGTTTAGAAGAAGATCCATCTACATGTAATGTCCATGTGGAGTCCGTTTCAACAAAGATTCCATCATCTGGTGGTAGTTCGGTTAGAAAATCAGCTAGAACTTGTGCTTTTGCGCTAGTTCTGCTTTTGTATTCTATATCGTACTCACTAAGTTCGATTGCCCATTTTGCCAATCTTCCGGACTGACTTGGACCGTGAAGAATTGATCGAAGTGGATGAGAAGTTAAAACTTCTATTGGATGAGATTGGAAATAAGGTCGGAGTTTTCTAGCAGATATCACTACTGCTAAAGCTAATTTTTCCATCATGGTATATCTCGTTTCTGGGCTAGTAAGAGATTTACTGATGTAAAAAATTGGCTTTTGTTCACCTCGGTCCTCTCGAACTAACACCCCACTCACGGAATGGTTAGAGACTGAAATGTAGAGATATAGTTTTTCATCTGATTCAGGTTTTGAAAGAATCGGTGGTGTCGTTAGATAAGTTTTGAGTCGACCAAATGCTGCTTCGCATTGATCATGCCACCGAAATTTTTTGTTCCCTTTCAAAATTTGATAAAAGGGGAGACATTTATCCGTAGATTTTGATATGAAACGATTTAATGCAGCAATTCTGCCTGTCAATCGTTGGACTTCCTTAATGTTTCTTGGCGAAGGCATAGTGAGGAAAGCGTTAATCTGATTAGGATTTGCTTCTATTCCTCGTTCCGTGACTATGTACCCTAGGAATTCTCCGGAAGGCACGCCAAATGAACATTTAGATAGATTTAATTTCATTCCGAACTCGTTCAGAATTTTGAAACACTGTTCGAGATGTGTGATGTGCTCGGATTTCTTAAGAGATTTTACGAGCATGTCATCTATATAAACTTCCATCGTTTTGCCCAAATGTTCTGCAAACATTTTGTTAACTAAACATTGGTATGTTGCCCCGGCATTTTTTAAACCGAATGGCATAACTTTATAACAGTAGATTCCTCTATCTGTTATGAAGGATGTTTTCTCTTCATCTTCGGGATTCATCATGATCTGATTATATCCAGAAAATGCATCCATAAATGTTAAGAGTTCGTTTCCGGCCGTTGATTCTACGAGCCGATCGATATGAGGGAGGGGAAAGCTGTCTTTTGGACATGCTTTATTAATGTCAGTGAAATCGACACATACTCTCCACTTTCCATTTTTCTTTTTGACTACCGCGGGGTTTGCTAACCAGTCCGGATATTTCACTTCTCTGATAGAACCAATTTCTAAAAGTTTATCAACTTCGTCATTGACCGCTTGTGCTCGGTCAGGACCAAGTTTTTGTCTTTTTTATTTTATTGATTTAAAACTGGGATCGACGTTTAAATCATGGGTGATAATACTTTTGTCGATTCCGGGCATATCTTTTGCCGACCAGGCGAAAGTATGTTTATTTTCTTTTAGAAAAGTTACCAATTGATCTCTGATTTCTGAATCCAAAGAAGTACCGATTTTTACTTTTCGATCTGGAAATTTGGGATCAATTTCAATCTCTTTGGTAACTTCATTCGAGCTAAGACCACTTGGGTAACGCAAGGTGCTCTCTTGCTTCGTGTTTATCATTAATTGCTATTTGAGCTTTAAACGATGTCCCATGAGGTAGCAAGATAGCGACGTTTCCTGATCTCCTCGAATGATTCCGATTCCTGCAGGAGTAGGAAATTTCACGCATTGGTGATAAGTTGAAGGTATAGCCTTCATTTGGTAAATCCAAGGAGTTCCGAGAATTAGGTTGTAAGCGGCCGGTCGGACGAAAACAATAAATTCTACAATCTTAGGAACCCTTGCAGCGAGCATTGGTAGTTTTATGTTCCCCAAGGACATAGATGTGTCACTCGTGAAAGCTACTAATGGTGCCGGTGGACCGATAACGTCAGCTTTACTGAGTCCCATTCTTTGCAAAGTGCTTAGACATATGAGATCTACTGAGCTTCCAGTATCAATTAGACACCTAGTTACTTCGAAATTCGTAACATCTAATGTTATCACAAGAGCATCGTCATGAGGTCGCGTTAATCCTTGAGTATCCGAACTATCGAAAGAGATAGAAGGTGTTTGTTCACTTGACTGGAAACCCACAGCGGTTTGAATTGCTGCTGATTTCTTGTGCCTTTTGATTGATATGATCGAATCTCGGCATAATTTGGATCCTCCCATTATAACATCGATCCTTTTCTTAGGAGTGTTTGGAGTTCCGGGCCCATTGGGCTTATGTTTCTTTTCAGGAGGATTAGACGCTTCGCAATCTTCTTTTTCTTTATGATAAGATTTCACAAATTCCTCGATATTGAAATTAGCGAGCTCTCCAGCCGCCCACAGTTCGGTGAGGTGCTTTTTGAGTATGCTGCAATCTTTGGTGGAATGCCCATTTACTCTATGGATATCGCAATAGGCACTCTCATCTCTAACCCAGGTATTAGGAGAATTATATCTTCCTTTATTTGGAGAGGGTTTTCCTACGGCATTAGTAGCAGGATTAACTCCAAACCGTTTTTGATCTTTTGGTTCGAACTTTTTAGTTGGACTTCCAGCGACCAATTTTGCTGGCCGATGTTTTCTAGCGAGGCTAAGCTTTTCTTCTTCTGCCTCCATCCAATTAGTAGCTCTGAATAAAGCGTCTTGGATGGTGCTCGGACGATTGACAATGATTTCTTCCCGGAACCAAGATTCATGCCAGAGTCCGTTTCTTAAAGCAGAAAGGGCAGCAGCGTGCGATACCCCAGGAATTTTGGCTATCACTTCTTTGAATTTAGCGATATATTTGCGAAGTGATTCGTTCTGACCTTGGGTTAAATTCCATAGATCTGCATCAGAGGTTGCCTTCTCCATGAACATGGAATACTGTTTTAGGAATGCGGAGGACAATTCCTTAAAACTATCAATAGATTCAGGCTCCAACTGAGTGAACCATAACAGAGCCGGTCCAGAAAGATTCTCGGAGAATAGTTTGCAATATCCAGCATCTTCCTCGTCTGGTTCTAGATCAATTCTGCCAGCAGCGATCTGAAAAGCAGCGAGGTGATTTTTAGGATCACCTTTACCATCGTAAGTTGGTTATTTGACCTTTCGAGAATCTTTAATCCGAAGGTTCGAGATTCTCGAAGTGAAGGGTGTTCGTCGAGTTTCTTCGATTACTCGATCGATCTCAGGTGCCGAACTGGTCGCCTGATGAAACTTTGACTTCATCTCATCAAGCTCTTGACGAACTTTGACGAAATCATCTGAAAGGATGACATCAGGATCTTCCATGAGGAGTCCTTCGTCAACAGCAGGATTTCCCTGATTTTGGGGATTTTCATCCCCGGTTGGGTTGGACCCATCTCCTACGGTTGTCTGATTGCTAGTATTAGCAGGACGGCCTGTAGGAGGAGTTTGAGTGCTCCCGGATCTGTTTTGTGTGGGAGTCTAGAATAGCCTGCGCGAATACGTTGTTGTTCGCGCTGAGGACAAATTGTCTAAACGGCTTGAAATAGTATTCTGCGCGTTTGACAAATTTGTCTGGGTGGTTTGAACACTCGTTAAAGTTTGCTCAATTGAGTTTAACCTTTCACCAAAAGTGGCGTTGGTACTAGTGAGTGTACCCATCTGATTGGTCAGATCGGTGGTTGACTGAGTAAGCAAGGCAATTGCATTGCTTAAAGCTTGCTGATCAGCCATAGTTTCTTGGTTTGAGAAAGAGAGATTTTGAGATTAAAGAGTTTTGCGGTAATTCCCCACAGGCGGCGCCAAAATGTGGATGTAGGATTCACACTCGATTGTCTTTAAGTATTTTTGCGGAGAAAAAACTCTAAAATCAAAGGATGAAAATAAGAATTTGAACAGGAAAGTGACCAAGAAACTAAATAAAGCGAAAGAAGTTGATAAGAACAAAATAGTAAATAGCTTTGCGAAATTGTAATAGAGAAAGTATGTTGTATTGCTTGATTGTAAGAGGTAAAAAGATTGTTCCTCCCTCAAACACATGCGTTTGAGGTCGTTTTTATAGAGAAAACATGATCAATGCGGTCATTTACTACTCATAATCGCATTGACTCGCATTAACTATGTAGGTTACAATTTGACCGAAACGGCTTGAATTAGAACTATCCAAGGCCTCGCGTGAATCTTCCGAACTCTTTCTTGTTGACTCCGAACTCCTGCGTCTTGATGCTGCCGCGAACCTCGAACAATATTCTCCTCGCTTCGGCCTTTCTCTGTGCGAGCTGTATGCTGAATAAGAGCGAACTCCGTACTGGTAAAGATCGAGCTCTTTAATAAACTGAATCGAACTTCCGGCTGGTCGAGCTCGATTCTCCTAATGAAATACCTAGAAGTCCAAGAGGATTATTATGTAATAATGACGTGGACAGATCCAAATGGATCCTACCAAAAGTGTGTGGGATCCGACCCCAACAAATAACTCCCTTTGGAGAGAATCCGTCTTCGGACTCAAACAGTGGGTTCTCACTTGAAGTTGTTATTCTTGAGCTTGATCTGAAAGAAGACAGCGGCATTTTTCAAGGTTTTTCTTATAATGAACTATGGTGATCTTTCGGAATTCCTTTTAAAGGAGAAAGAGGTTCAGATTTCTAAAAATAATTATATATTGTTGGCCTGTTAGAGCAGGCTTCAGATCCAATTAAAACGCGGCCCAGCGATTCCGAAGCCATCATGGGCAACGATCAAAACCATTGCCTGGTCATATTTATGACAAAATTCTCATGAATTATAAATCTTATCCCTCGATATAAAAAAAAATTTAAGCCGAGCTCCATCCTCACCTTCGAGAGACCGAGGAAAAATACTTATTAAGATTTTTTCTTTAAAAAAGGCAAGTGAGCCTGATCAGCTCATCTCTCACAATTCATAAAACCTCTTTGGCGGGCTAGGACTTGCAAACCTAGAATCATGTCCAAACTTTTTTGTTTAAAATAATCATCATATGCTAGAGCATGTACATGGTTGTGTTCAGTCACACTAATTGAACAAAATATTTCCGTCAAACGGAATAGTCCTCATGGACTCAACAAAACAATTCTTAAAAAAAAAAAAAAAAAAAAAAAGAAGATCGTTCCTATACCTCTGGAGAACTTTCGTATGGCCGAGAACCTTCGCCAACCTCGAATTGGGAGGGGGAGTCTCCAAATACCAAAGAGAATGGTTCCAAATCAATAGAAGGGCGGGAAGCCGAAGATAACTCGGATTCAACTATAGCGAGCTCAGCAGAAACTTCCCTCCTCTCATCCTCTAGCGAAATTCTTCCACTCTCTATTCCCCCAATCAGATCTAGATTACTCTTCAGCTCGGCTCGATCGGACTGAAGCTTAGTCCAGACTTCCTCGTCTTGGACAAACTTCATGATAGACTGAATGAGTTGCCTACCAATGCCCCTCACCTCTTCTCGAGCGTTATGTTCAGCTTCAGCAATATCGCGAGCTCTATTCCTAATCAAAAGCTCGGTCTTTTGATTCGTTTCTTCGAGCAAAGCTGTAGTCTCTTCTAGCTCGGATTCTAAGCGAAGAGCATTAGACCTCGTAGAATCTCTTTCAGTGTCCGCAATTCTGATGCGTTGCTCGTTAGCTGTTAGAGTTTTCTTCATATTCTCAAAGGATGATTCAAGGGCTCTTGCTTTCTCAGATCGCTCAGACTGATTGGCTAGTCTAAGTTCATCAACCGCCTTTTTATCCTTTGCTATTTCTCTCATCGCTTGGTGAAGAAGGTTCTCATAATGGAAGATCATTCCATTAGTCTCCATAAACGCCTTCGGAGTAAAAAAAAAACAAAAAAAAACCGTGTCATCAAGGCAAAAAGTTTTTTCTTTTACTTAAAGAAAACGGGATTGACAAAATCAAAATCCGAAAATTTTTGAACCTGGGATAGGTAACAGGCTCGACTGACAAACATCTGGCGGATTTCCGGCCTCCAAACCAAAAAAGGAGGAAGGGACGCCCCTTCCCTGGTTTGAAAACCTCGGAAGATGTCTCCAATCTCTTCTCCATCTGCAAAACAGAGGAGAATAGTAGGTTGATAAATAGCCGCAATCTGTGACAAATCTTGCTAAGGCTTGCTTTCTAAAAAAAAAACTTACCAGAAATCGAAGCGGTTAAAGGGCTTTGAGTCCTAACACTCAGTCCTTGGGATAGGGAAGTCTCAGGTCTCGGCTCATCGATTTCTTCTAGAATTGCTCTGTCTCCCGAAAAAGGGAGCTCAGAGTCTGAAGGTTCAACAGAGGGGAAAACAGAATGCAGAAAGCTAGGGGCTCATGGCGGAGAACTTAATCTAACGGTTGAGTCTCTCGTTTGATAAAGTATCCGAGTCTGGAGTCTTCCTCTTTGTGCAAAGAGGAGGAGTTTCTTCTCTCTCCCTCTCTTGTGCAGAAGAGCAAATGGCGGTGGCAACTGGGGGGTCGTTAGGGATATCGGCTCCATGAGAATCCACCGCACTTGACAAAGCCGCTTCTAAGGAACCGTCATCAACTAAGAGGGTCTTCCTGTGGAAGCTACCAACCTTGGAGATTGCAGCTATCCGCTTCTTTTTCCCAATTTCGGATAATTGATCCTTAAGAGCCTTAATCTCAGCCTGGATTTTTCTTTTATCTCGAGCATTCAGGCTCGAAACATCTTTCTCTTCAGGAGGAGGTTCAAGAGGGTGAGTTTTACCATCCTTAATAGCGAGCCCCGCTTTATGAATACGTTGAAGGGTGAAAGAATTCCAATTTGTGTCACTCTCGGAAACGATTCGGAAGAAAGATAAGAAGTCAACTGTTGGATGGGGGATAGTTTGGTTAATAAAACGTTGAGTTAAGAATTCCGTTTCTTTCACACAATGTAGTAGAAAGATAATAAAGAATGATTCTAACCAAGTTTGGGCGACCAATTTGGGAGAAGAAAACCGGAAAGCCTTTGAACGGAATGAGGATTAACTCGGAAAAAGAACCAGTATTTCCTCCAAGGCCCATCATTTAGGGGCATCCCGTCGATAAGGTTACGGTCAAAAATATGATTCATGGAAAAAATACCCGCTGCCGCAGAGTCACGGGCTCGAAATAGCCCTAAGAGTTCGCTGGTGGTGAGAGAAAACCCCGCCTCCGCTGAAACGGTCAGGGTACTCAGGATGTACCTAAGGAAGTTGGGAGCCATTTGGGGAAAAGTGATCCCTAGATGTAGGAGATACAAAATGAGAACTTCCGGGATAGGAAAAAATAAACCACAACCCTTGAAATAGACTTCGTACGCGCAACAGTTCCCTCTCGCACCATTTCTGGAGACTCATTTGGTCCAGGAAGAGAGAATTCTATTTCTTGGGGAATGTTACAATGGCGACGAAGGGCGCCAAGGGAAGCATGGGTCGATTGGGACCTGAAATGCGGACCAAATTTATCTCCCGCTTGGATAAAAACTTTGTCCCCTCTGGGAACAGGGATTCCTTGACTATCGTCTTCGTTGTCTGAAACGTAGACGGCCGGGGAAGACATTTTTTACTAAGGGATTTTTCTTTCTCTGGTTTGGTAAAAGCTTTCGAGGGTGAATGTACGCTGTAAAAGCCGTCGTTCCATTTAACCCTATTTAGTGAAAACCACCTCGAGAATATTGGGAAGTGGGACAGTTTTCCCCGCAATATTAATATAAAATTAAGAAATTAATGATGACGGTTGTCAGAGAAATCAAATCATCTGATTATCCAAGATCAGCGTAACAGCGTAAAACATGGAGAAATTCCAGAATGTTAAAAATCTTGAGTCATTAATTACTGTTTACTTAAGTCTTCCAAGCCGAGCACTCAGCTCGCAAGACTTGGGGGGCTAAATGTTGGGGTCGGATCCCACCCATCTTCGGTAGGATCCACTTGGATCTTTCTATTTCATTATTACATAATAATCCTCTTGGATTTCTAGATGTTTCATTGCGAGAATCGAGCTCGACCTGTCGGAAGTTCGATTCAGTTTATTAAAGAGCTCGATCTTTACCAGTACGGAGTTCGCTCTTATTCAACATATAGTTTGCATAAAAGAAGGTCGAAGCGAGGAGAATATTTTTCGAGGTTCGCAGCAGCGTCAAGACGCAGGAGTTCGGAGTCAACAAGAAAGAGTTCGGAAGATCCACGCGAAGCCCAAGATAGTTCAAATTCAATCCGTTTCGGTCAAATTGTAACCTACATGATTAATGCGGATCAATGCGATTATGAGCAGTAAATGATCGCATTGAACATGTTTTCTCTATAAAAACAACCTCAAACGCATGTGTTTGAGGGAGGACAACCTTTTACCTCTTACGATCAAGCAATACAACATACTTTTTCTTTTACAATTTCGCAAGGCTTTTTACTATTTTATTCTTATCAAATTCTTTTGCTTTATTTAGTTTCTTGGTTACTTTCCTTTTTCGAATCCTTATTTTCATTTGTTGATTTTAGAGTTTTCTCCACAAAAATACTTAAAGACAATCGAGTGTGAATCCTACATCCACAAAGAGTTCAAAGTTGTGAATGTGAAGGATAAAGAGACTCTCTATTTTGATGAGGAAATCTTGAATGGTGAATGTGTACACTCCTTGTTTGATGAGCATGAAGAAAAAGGTAAAGAGGAGGAATTTGGTAAAACTAAGAAGCTTCTTGAGAAGAACAAGAAGAAGATAAAAGAAACCCACCCTACCACCCTTTTCAATGAGCCAATGACTACCTCATCAATGACCTTAACACCTTGGAGATATGTGGAGGGAACGATTGAGTATAAAGTAAAATTCAAAGGTCGGTCCAACCCTTTTGCAACGGTTAAAGCGATACTCACACCAAAATTTAAAGACAAAGGCTCAAAGGGTGTTGAAGATTTGATGAAAGAGGTCCTCACAGTTGAATTCAAGGACCTTCCAAGGACCATCAAAGCTTCTCCTCTCACTCCACACACTAAATTTCGCGACTAGGGCCACGGTATGGTCCTATCTTTTCTTTGTACATACCATTAAGTTTTTCTTTTTCTTTTTGTGTGTGTGTGTGTGTGTGTGTGTTTTTAGACTTTTTCTCAAATTTGTTCTCACACCGAGACGGTGTGAAATAAGTTTGGGGGAGAGACATAGTATAGACATTGTATATAATGATGTGTTTTGTTTTGATTTTAGTTTCTTGAGTCATGCATTGTGTATAGTTAAGTTATCTATAAAAAAATGTCTGAACTTCAAAATTCTAAATGCATAATCTTGTGGATTCCAACTTTATGAATTTGATCTTAAAATGAATTTAATTCTCTCACTTAGGGATTTTAAATGCATTCTCATGGAAGTCTAAAAATGGCACATTCGGATTTCCTTATTCGTTTCACCACTCTTGTATTAATCCGAATGGCCATTCTCATCTTTAGAATGGTACCCCTACCCTTGACCTTAACCAATTCTTTCAAACCCTCGATTTATTGTTTGAGTGAGGCCTTTTGTTGATAATGCTATAGATTGCAAAATCTTGAGAGTATTGGGAACGACAAAGGATTATCTCTCGTTTTAGCTAGTCTTTGGAACTCTATTGGACTAGCGATTAGGGTGATAATGAAAGATTTAGGTGGTTAGAATTGAGAATTTGGTTTGGGTTTTGGAAGAAGGAATTAAAAGAAAGGCATGATCTTGTAGAAAGAAAAGAGTCAAATAGGGAATTAAATCATAAGAAAGATGCTCTAAGTCCCAAGAAGAAAAGAAATTTGCAAGGTTAATTATTGGGGACAAAGAAAAGAAATAGAAAAGAGCTAAGTGTTCAAAATTGTTTTTCCCTAATTGACAACAAAAAGAAAAATGATCATGAGGTTGCAAAAGGGTTGATATTAAAAAGAAAAATGATATTGCAAAAAGGTAGAAAGATGAGTTTTGCATCTTAAGACGGGTAGAACAATTGGAGATTAAACTTTGTATGCATAAATTGTTCTTGGTCTTAGATGGCTTTTGCGATTGTCTAGCATTCCTATGTTTTGAGAGAAACCACCAAAGAAAAATTCTTTTAAACCACCTCAAAATGCCTTTTCCCTGAACCAATTGAGAATGATTTACTCTCCCTTTGTGAGACCGCACTTAATCATGAATGAATGTTAAAGAGTTGGATGAAATGATTTTTTTGCATTTGGAATTAGAAGGAAAGTATTTGTGATTATAGACTTGGTTTTTGCATCTTACTACTTTTGTGAAAGGAAATCAATTTGAGCTTATTTGATAACTTGTTTGCTTGAGGACAAGCAAAAAGCAAGTCTGGGGGTGGTGATATACATGTATTTCACCATGGTTTGCCCCATGTTATTTGTGTGTTTCATGTATATATTCTTCGATTAATAAGTATTTTTGTGTCATTGTGTGTTATATTGAGTTTTATAGTACTTTAGGAGTTCTCGATTGTATATTGCACATTCTTCTGTGGTTTGTGTGTATATTTCAGGACGCTTGGAGTTGCGGAGGAACACGAGGTTGAAGCGAAGGAAGCAGAGCCAAAAAGGAGTAAAAAGACCACATCATACGAAGCCTATACCTTGTGATTTAGCTTTCGAGCCGTTCATGAAAGTTATAGAGAATTGAATCAGCTTTCTAATGGTGGTGATTTCGTATCAAACGGAGTAGCGTATCAAAAGTTACAAACAGATCGGTCTACACTCGATCTAGATGATGGCTCCAAATGAAGTTCTTGAAAGATCACATCATATGAAGACTCTCCCCTGTTATTTAGATTTGGAGCCCTTCATGAAAGTTTTAGGAAATTGAATTAGCTTTCCAACGGTGGTGAGTTTGTCTGAAACGGAGTTACGGAGAAATAGTTACAATCCGATCGGTTTACAACCGATCGACGAAACCGAGCGGCAAAATTGCAAAAATCTACTAAAGAGATCCGATCGGTTTGCAACCGATCAGGCAAACCGATCAGAATCCCAGCCGACAGTTTCCACTATAAATACTCATTTTAGTGTAAAATAAAGAGATCTAGACTTTTGCAACTTTACTAAACTCTCTCTTTTGTTCTTGGTGTTCATGTTTTGTAAACTTATTTCATCATCTAAATCTTTGTTACTTATGTTTTGTTAAATCTTTTTATAAAATCTTGATCATGTCTTCATTATCTATCTTTTGAACGGTTTACTTTTGCGTTTTGAGTATGTGTGAGTAGTTGACTTTTGGATTGTTGGTTTGGTAGATTTAGGGTGATTTGATGATTGATCATGATGTTTGATTGATGATTTATGTTTATCTTCATGTATAGAATGATTTTAATGCTAGAAATGAACTTGGAAAAGAGGTTTCTAGATTTTAGATTATTTCATTCTCGGAAGATGTTTTGAATTAATCTGAACCTTCTATGCATGCGATTTTTAATCTGGGCCAACAGAAGTTGTAGTCGTAAGATGGAATCGATGACTTGTGTGAGCTTGTGTTTAATGTTTATGAATCATTTGGTTGCAATCAGAAGATTTAGCTTAATTGAATGGTTTGTAAAAGGATTAGTATCACGGAAGTAAACTTGTCTAGTTAAGGAACTCATGTCATAGAATAAGCATTGATTGTTCTTCTATTTCATTGTTGTTTAAGCCATCATTCACCCTTGTCAATTACCTTACCAACGATCCATACTTTTAATATCTTCAATTCAATCGTTTTACTTGCTCTGCTTTGTTCGCTTGCTTGTTTAAGTTTGCTAGTAGTTGTTAAATTATTGCTTTTTTAATTTATCGTCATGTTCTATTTTTAGTTTTTAGTTTCGAAATCAAACCAAAATCGTATCCATTTAGCTTGATTAGTTTCCTGTATTCTTGGTGTGTTATTTTTGTCTCCCTGTGGTTCGATAAAATATTAATTGGGGTCGGAAACCACAATTTTGCACGTTCAGCATTGACATGTTCTGAGATAACCACAGTCTTCTGCTTCTCCTTCTGCATCTGTGGAGCTTCATATAGTATAATATCACGTTGAAGCGGTGGTGACAACTTCTCTATATCAACCGGAGGCAACTCAGGTAGAATCTTATCCATGATATCCTTGCGGCGCTCCTCCTGAATCTCCTGCTTAGACTGTTGAGGCATTGGACAAGGAACTTTAGGTGTGTAGACTTGGTCAGCAACAGGTGATAACTCAAGGATAATTGGTGCAGTCTGTGGCCAGTGTCGATCGACACTAGGTGAGTGTCGGTCGACACTATTGTCTGGTGTCGACTCTTCTGTATCGAGGTCACTCAATTCTGCTCTGTCAAACGTCGATTCTGCTTCTGATCTTGAATCTGTGCTGGCATGGATTCCATCTTACTCGCATAAGTGGGTGGAGGGGGGGCTTGGTAAGAATAAGAACAGCAGTTCCTGGTGAAATTGTTCAGAAAAGCCATCTTCGTCTCCTGCCAAGTTGTTAAAGATCCTGGAATCAACTCCTTAAGCCAAGAAGCTGCTTCCCCGACATGAGAGTATGGGAAGAGCTTGCGAAGTAGATAGTCTTCTGATACAACCCGTGCCTTGATGATTGAAACCAAATC